GGGACGCGAATAAGAGCTGCAAATCCACTGGAAAAACTCCTGTTCCTTCCACCCCCATCCCCCTCTGCCGCCACCCCCGGACCCCCCCGACTCCTAGCACAAAGAGAAGATTCTGGGTTGCAGTGTTCACTTTTGAATAATCCCCCTTTATTTACCCAGCAAAGCCTCACCGAGATTCTTTTTCTTCTCGGAGGGTCCTCCCCCCCCCACCTCCCCCCCACCCACATTGGGATGTTTGGCCAATTCCATTAGCGAGTTGTTTGGCTTAATGTGAGAGGAAACCAGAGAACAGAACCTGGGAAAAAAAACCCCCCATCCAATATGAGGAGGCAACACATGAAGCTCTGCACACACCGACACCGATCCAAGAATCCATTGCCGCACTTAATTACTTAATTGGGTAAAGCCACATAGCAACATCGCCACCCGACTGGCAGACTATAACTGTCTATAAAAACACACTGCCTTTGTGTAGCCTTGCACTACCAGGATGCTGCTCATACCGAATGTACTAAATTAATATAATTAGGTACCATAATCTCCTGGCAACCAAGCATTTGACCTGCCCATCTTCAACTCCCTACCGAGTGCTTTTAGTGAAATCGAATTATCTTGGCCGAGTCCCTTAACCGCTACACAGACTCATTGTGGAGTGGGTATACATCAAAGACATCCCTCTAAGTCGACGAGGCACTGCTGGATGTTTATTGAATGCTGCTGCAGGAGGAACAGAGATATTATTCAGCACTGGCTATCCCTCCGTGTTTCTTACGTTGGCTGAGCCAGCCAACGTAATGAACTAAATATAACATTAAACTTTTTAAAATAAAACATATCAACGTGACTATGCGGGTCGTGATTCGTAAAAAAAACATCGTTGCAGCTGTAATGACCTCGAATGCAACAATAGCAACACAATGATACGCTTGTAGACTTGCATGGGCATAATTCTGCAAACCCGTTATGTCAGTTATAACATAAATAAGTTGCCAGATCGTTATCATGTCAGAGCATTGACAGAGTTTGTGTTCACTACCAATCTATCGACATGATTAGTCATTTTTATTTTCAAAATTCATCTTTGTACTACAATTGTTTTTCATGTAATGGCTCTTTTTTTTTACACACAGTTGCTGAGCACACGGACCAAAGGCCCAAGATTTCAAACGGCCAGCAACAAACAGCACTTTCAAGGTTGAAATTGATGAGTGAACATTTCTTGAATTGTGAAAGGTCATTGTAAGAGCTTGGGAAGAGATACTTTGGAGGAAATTTAAGTAAATAAAATATATATGACATAAAAATAACACGTTGCAGAAATGCTCCATAATAATCAGTCCTTTGTCAATATACTGCTGGATGAATGCATCACAATGCTGCGTCAGTCGTGGGAAGTTCTTTGACCATCATACTTCACCACGCTTGCCAGTCAGCGTGGGTTGGTGGAAGGCCGGGACCCAGGACTGGATAAGATACGACTCGCCGCTGATGTTAGCCGTGGCCACGAATCAAAGTCAGGTCCCAGGGTTCAAGGCACAGTGCTTTATCCGCTGCATCACTGCTATACTGGTGCAATAACGATCGCTTCGATGAACACAATTGTCACGAGTAATAATGAGCGGTGTTTAGAAGCATGCTTGATATGGGCTCACTAAGCTAAACTCTGGCCCCCAGCGGAGTAGCCGACTCGTGAAACCCGACACGTCCACTCAAACGAGAGGGGAAACACTCCAAACACTCCGCCACTCCGAAATGCGCCGCACAACAATGTCTCTTTTGAGAGTGGGGCAGGGACGGGAGAAACAAAGGCATCACCATAGCGGGCGTTTATAGCCCGACGGTCCCACAGCCACACGAGACTCCAAAAGGTCAATGCGTTACATCAATTGGTCAATATAGAGGCTGTAAGAATGGAGCGGTGGCGTGGTGGTTAGTGCCGCTGTACCATGAACCTGGTGATCCGGGTTCGATTCTCGGCCACGGCTGTGGCGAGAGCCATATCTGGACCGGGCCCGGGCTCCCGCACCTTTTACCGACCCGCGTTGACCAGCACGGTGAAATGTGGCTGCTAAACAACCCCCACAGCTGCCGGCATGGCGTGAGGAAGGCTGCATCCGGCAGTGGATTGACAAGGGGCTGTAAAAGAAACAGAGGCTGCATGGTGTAAAGTAAAAAAGAAAGAAAGCAACGCCACTTACTATTATTTAGCATTAAAATGACGCCTGGAGATTAATGAATTTTCTGACAAGTAATGCGCAATACTGAATTAGTGGAAAAAAACACCGCGTGGGCACTAACATTTCCCTACATTATAATTCACAACGAATGCTTCTCGCAGCAGCCGCTAGCTCCGTTACGCAGGGGGTAGTGGGGGGTGCAGGCGGGGGCCGAGATGAGGTTGGAAGGAAAGAAAGGATCTTTCTTCCTTTATGCGGGGATCTCCTTCAGCGGTCAGCAATAACATGACCCTATCAATCACGGGCAGAGCCCCGCAAGAGGCAATCTGTCACTCAGCTCCCTGTCCCACCTGACGGTGCGAGGAATCTAGTGGAGAGGTCACCGGCGGGCGGCCCAGAGGAGACGCCCCATGGAGCCTCTGGCACCTCGCGAGAGCCCCCAATGCCCAGCGTCGAGGCGCCCGGCCAAATCAAACGAGAGACGCCTGGACGTGTCCATCGGAGATCATCGGGGGCACTGGCCCGACCGCTGGGAGAGAATGCCGCTGCTTCCCTAAGTGAGTTTAAAGACCCAGGCCGGGCGTGCAAATTATGACACCAGGGGACCGGGGGAGGTGGCGTCGAGGCGGCGTCGAAGATCGATTATAGAATAGGAATAAGGCAAAGGGTGTTCTGCGCGGAGGAGCTGTAGCCCAGGGAATAGGACACGAATCTGTTCATTTCACCAAGTGGACAACGAGGGTTTTTTTAAATCACTGCCCTTAGATGACGCGTTTTATGTTTTGCCAAACCCCCTCGGCTAGAGTCTCTCTCCAGAGCAATGCTGTTTATAACATAATCAGCGATCTATTGTAAATTACACTGCGAGTGTACAAAGGGGGTTTTATGTTAACAGTTTAAAAAAATGCATTGGGAATAACAATCATTCTTACTTTTTCCTCCTAAAATTAAGTCAACTCTCTTTAGTCGGGGCACTACAAGTCTCCTGTTTGCCCCCCCCACCCCCCGTCAAAGGGGGGCAGGCGAGCACGGTGGGGGGCTAAAGCACCCTCCGATGCCCACGCAACACCCCAAGCTAAAATGTACAGTTTCTACTCGAGAATTTAATGTCATTAAGTTGGAGATAAAACAACAACAACACCACCAGAGTGAATGTCTACCAGAAGCACTGACAGGACGGAGAGAGAGCGCTCTTACGCAAACATTAACCCACCCACTGGCGCCTAATGAATGCCTGGAGAGAGCACTTGCCTGGAAGCACAATCCTGCCAAAAACAGAATGGATTCGTAGCACACTGACATTTCCTTATCAGACAAATGATACTCCTGGCCCACTGCCTTATCCCTTATTTCCAGCTTAGCTACTTATAGCTAATTAACTTTCCTTATCGGGTCCGGCCGGTCTCATCCAATGACAGACAAAGCGGTTGGAGGAACCAGAAAATATATTTATATATATGTATAATAAGTCACTCCATCACGGGTGGACAAAACAATCATGCTGAGACAAACAGATGACAATCTTCTGGGCAGCCTGGGGTAGTGTCACCGCTATTTACTGCAAAGACATAAAAGCGCGTGTGAATCAAAATGCCACATCCTAAAATTGTGTTTTCATGCCGTGGGTTTAGACTGCTGCGATGCAAAATAAAAGGTGGCAATGTTCGAAATATATTTTCGTTTATTGTTCATTGTGGCCAACGCACCATAGCGTAGCAGGAAGAGACAGTGAGAGATCTAAAGCTGCCTTCCCCTGACCATGTGTTCCGATCAGACAAAGAGAGATAAGAGTTTAAGCAAATCCTTGGCATTTCCCCAGGTGAGCTTCTAATACCCATCATTCAGCGAGCAGTGAGCCAACACGCCAGCCATCGTCTTGTCAAACTGGTCATGGTTGTGGTTACTCCTCAGGAAGGGGGGAAAAAATTAAACATTTGCACAAAACTGCCAGGCGCTGCTTCAACGCCGTGGCTCTCGTGAAAAACTACAGCCTGCCTATTTATATCGCCCTGCTCATTCAAGCACACCATATTACTCGATGACTTTAAGAAACGAGGTAAGAGAAATGAGCAGAGCTGGCAGTCCAGTCCACTTTGCGAGCAGTGGGAGTCTAGCGCCGAGTTGATGCATCGATTGTCATCGAGTTGAATCGCGAGCATAAGGAATCCTAGTTTTTCGTTTTTCTACATGATTTGTACACATCGTCCCTGCAGCCACTAGTAGCTGCTTGAATGGAGTCGCGACCCTCGATCACGACGATTCACCGAATGGCGGGAGGAGGTGACTCATTACAACGCTAGGGAGCATGCTCTTTGCACTTCAATGCACTGTTCAAAGTGAGCGGGGGAGCACAGGCGAACTGGTTCCCCCGGGCCCCTTCACGGTACGCACCAGAGGGGAGATTAGGGGGCGACACACGTATGCCGTGAGCATCACTTAATGCCTTGTACGCCGACGTTCGACGGTGACATTGAGAATTCAGCGAGCCTCCCATCTTGGCTCCCCTCCGCCTAGAGTGCCACCCAGTAGCCCCGCTACAGAACGTGTGCAGGCAGTACAACTGCCCCGGGTCCAGGCTCCAGGCTTCAAAGAGGGGGGGGGAATAATTGCACAGCCCGTCCCATTTAATTCCTCACGCTAGGGCCAATGCTAGCCACGATACGCCGCTTAGTTGCCCCTCTTACCAACGCCTGCTTCGTCCGCTGCTCTGCCGCCCTTCAAAAACCAAGGCGGTTCGTACAGGTCACTGAGCGGCGACGGAGCTTGCAACTGGGCGGCCTCGCAAGATTGGGGGAGGTGGGGGGGGTGGGGGGGGGGGGTCACCTTGCATCCCTCGCAGGAACTGACGCCGTAGTGGTAGCCGGAGGACTTGTCCTGGCACACGAAGCATGGCTTGTAGGTGCGTGGTGGAGGCGGAGGCGAGGGAGGGCTGGGCAGCAACTCCTCCGAGCCGCTGCTGCTGCTCTGCGTGTCGATGGCTGCGCGACACGAGGAGGAGACACGGCACGGTTGTTATTGAATTTAGGTGGATTTTTTTCATCATCCCCCCCCCACCACCACCACGTTATCCCGATCGTGCTATCGACATCACATCACGAGGCGAGAGAATCCATTCGGAGCTCTCGCATGGCAGCGCAACCCATCGTGTTAGAAAGAGCGGCACACTGCATCCGACAATGCAGAGCTACCTCTTGAGATATATTCAAGTGCTCTCTGTTCCGCAAAGTAAGGTGCATCACTTTTCTATCCGCACCGCTACAGGGTAATGTTTGTCGCATTACAGGCAAACAAAATTTTTTTATTCTCAGAGATGGAGTTTAGCCCAGTTAAGTGTCAGAATAACATTGTGTGACGGTGGTTTTTGTTCAGATAATGATAACTCCCAAAATTAATGTGATGGGTTTTTTGCACAGTTTTTTCAGAGACGGGGCAGAGACCATCAACCACCGACACTTGAGAACATAGTTGAAACACCTGCAACGTACTGCAGGCTATCATGAGGTTCCAGCTCAGCACTCTGACCTCCTAATCAATGTACATTTATTCGTATTACTTTGCCATTAATTTATATACCTCTCGGCACTTCAGTTGATTCGTCAAAAAAAGATATATATATACACACATGGCGGACAAACAATCTCGGCAGTGCGGTGCTGTGATTCTATCACGGTAATTAATTGATGACGCTTAGGAGTGAACGAGTGCCATGGAATTTGACGCAGGTGAGCCTGGGAAGAGCGGCGAGACGCCGTGTGTGGATTTCACTGTCCGTATCTTGTTTCCACGCTCGCACTTGCAGCACGGGGAGACACCGGGCGGCCCCTTGCCGTGATGTCGCACGGTTTTTGCAAATGAGATTGATGGCCCCATTGATCCAAGTCGCAATGTCAGCGAGAGGCCCAGCTTTAGCGGTGGGGGGGGGGGTGGGGGATGGGTGCTTTGCGTAAGTTAACGGCGGAGCTGCGCATACAGGAAAAGCTAAACCAGCGGGAAGAGTGGGTCGGCTAAACACGTGTTAAATGAGACCCGTAACTCACCGGCGTGGTGAAGTATGGGAAAAACAAATCCCCTCGAACCCCAAGACTGACACGGCGCAGGAAGGCCTTTATCCAGCAGTTGGACAGTGTTAACAAGCATTCCGTAAATGGTACACACACTGCACAAAGAGGCATATGAAACGAGGAATTCAATGTTTATTGGGAATACATTATAACGTAACATGAGATCACACACAACAGTCATAACCAACATGGTGTGGGAAGGCCTTCTTTCAGTGGTGGAATGACATAGGCCTGTATATTAATTGTTAATATTATTGGCTTTTAGCGTGGCTATGCTGGAAATTTATATTTTAGGAGCATACAACGTGCCTCCTACATAACATTTGAAAAGTGTTACACTTACATCCCCATTATGGTTTTACCAGGAATGGGTTCTTTTTGAGGATCTAGAAAATAGATATGTCTTCCAACGATGTTAAAAGTCCAATTTGTTGTTGTCAGTTGCACAGCAATAACACAACTGAATATTGTGAATTTACATATAGTTCTCCGCTCTTCTGGTACTGTAAAATATTCATCTTCACTTGATACGCCTGGTCTTTTGAATCTCAGAGGTGGCAACCTCTACCCATAATAGAGTGACGCAGAGATTGGGAACCCGGGCTACTGCTGTGGCACACACCGGCTAATGAGAAACGTCAACATGAAAAATAAATGGCCGTTCCACGTCGGGTTTCTGTGTTAGCCTTCTCACTTACTGCAACGGCTACGCAGCCAGGCCCCGTACGGTCATTTGTATACGACATAAGGCACGAAAGCGCAGCGGCGAACGAATGCTGTTCACTACGAAGACGGGCACTGCATCGCATGCTTTGAGATGTACTTCTGCGGCCGTCTGGAACACTCGTCCTTCCGATATTAGGAAGCCACTGAAGCTAAGCACTTTCAAATCCAAATTGAAAACTCAATTCTTAAGAGCTTCTTTTTGTGTTTAGTTTGTTGTCCTTCCCCCCCCCCCGCACCTCCGATTAGCATGGTTGGCTACGTACGGTGCAAAAGAAGTTCAAAATAAATACATACTCCATAATAGAGGTTTTTTGGGTTAGATCGCATGTAAATATGTGCCGTTAAAACCCACCACCACCCAACACAGCCAACTAGTAAGGGTGGTCACGTAAACAGAACAGCACACCGGTGTGTTGGAGAGCCAAGCCACAACATTTACAATCTGAGTACGACGTTTCGTCAGTAATTACAACTAGCTTCATCAGACGACAGCCAGATTTGGCTGTCGCCTGATATATATACGCAATCTAACCCAAAAAAAACCTCTATTATGGATGATATTGGTCGCGAAAGCCTACGTGATAAATACATACTACTTTCATCATCATCATCATGATCTTTACGATCATTAACCGCGAGCGTAAGCCGCGATCAATCCACCGCTGGATGAAGGTTCCCCCCCCGCCCCCGCAAGGAGTCGCCATCTCTCACAATAATGCACCCAGCACCTGCACGTGAGCTGGTTCTTCTGTCTGCGACTCGCTAGCCGGCGCTTTGCAAGAAAAAAAACGCGTGGCGCGTACGATGTAAAAACACCATTTGGAGCGCTAGGAACAAGTCAATAAGCCTCGCCACACCGCTGACAGATTGAATTGAGGCAAACACATTTTTGTATAGGCCCTGTAGTAGTAAATCAATAGAACCGTTAGAAAAAAAATGTTCAGACTTGAGGGGGGGAAGGGGGGGTCGGGGGGGAGCTGAAGAAAAAAAAACCTTTTCCCGGCGGCAAGAGAAGGAATTTGTGCCAAAAAACAAAGAAATATTTTTTCTAATGCCCCTGTCACACAATTAGCAGGCAGTCCCATGGCAAACTAATCCAAATCACCTGACCTCACTCGCCAAGAGGCCAGGCCCGCAGAGCTGGAGACAGATTACCGGGACACCGCACACTTTCCGAGGGAGTTACTTATGTTGAAACAGCTGAGAGGGGAGGGGGTGGTTGAGATCTGGAGGTTTATATGGTTTGGGGCGGGGGAAGATTTGTGGTGGTGAACTTTAGGGAAAGCGCTCAATTAACGAGTGCCAGCAATTACCAATAACATACGACGTTGTTTTTTGTACAAATGTTTTTTGCTTAAAAAATAATGCACATGACCCTCTTCGCCAGGTGCATCCGTGACGCGTGAATGGTTCACGCACGCATCAATTATTGTCGTGATTCCGAATACCAGAGTGAGGGTAAATAGAGGCAGAAGAGATTGACCAATTTGTCAATTAACGTGGATTCTTAAGCTCACGGATACACGTCCTCGAATGGACATGCGTAACAATCGCTGTTTTTAACATTCGTACGCGTTGACGTGCAACGGATTAACGTGAGCCACTGCAGCCACTGGAGGCCGCGACATTCACCGAAATGTTATGAAAAAGAAAAGATGCTCGACTCAAACTGCAACCCTAAATCCCAACAAATCGTCGAACTGCGGGGTCAAGTGCGGGGTTGGGGGAAGCGGTGAATCTGCACAGCCTTTTTCATTATTGCAGTATTTATTTTCTAAACGTTAGCTACCAAACTGACATAAGGAACAGTTTTATTGCAAAGTGTCAAGTGAACAAAGAGACAAGGTCACCAACTTTATGGAGCTCCTCAACATGTTTGGAGGGAGGGAGGGGAGGGGATTTGAGTTCCTGACCATATTTCAATTCTCAGCTCGAGTTTTATTTTGTGAAATGACCCACAGACCTAAAACTGGCTTGAGTGGAGGTGGTTACAGTCTTGGCAGCAACATCCTCTCAGCTGACACGATAATTTATTTCCACCAGTCTCCACCTGCCCCCCATCATCCGCCCACCACCCCCCTCCTTCTCACAATATGCCCGCTCACCCCCACATCCCACCGCACCTCCGCTCTCTGGACTTACAGTAATTGCACCCAAATGTGACGGAACTTTAGAAATTCTAACCGCGGTGCTGCCGTCCCAGAGGTAATTTTATATATCCACTCGAAGCGTGGGGGCGCGACTGCATTGTTTAATTGTCTGCATTCCTTTCTTTTCAAGTCTCCTTTTAAGAGATGTTATTTGCGCAACGTTTGTGGTTAAGCGCGTCGCCACCCTCTCCCAACAAACGACTCGACATGTTTTATATATTTAAAAAAGTGCAACAGAAGACCCGTGTTGCATTCCTCTGAAGAATCTTTGGCTAACATAAAGTGGGCTTGAGCCAAAGAACGGCACACAGGCCTGTGTGCACGGACGCAGATTGAGAGGAGACTCTGCACCAGCTCTTTTGCGACTGTGCGATTTCACAAGCAAGCATGATTGTGTCGCATGACATGCAAGGCATGAAGGGAAGGATCCGTCCTACATTTTTGTTTTGTAAGTTGCAGAGCACAGGCGTAAAGACCTACAAATGACAGGTGGCCAGCACTACACATCGCATAGGAGAGAGTAAGGTGATCAAAATTTGGGAAGAAACGACGGGAGAAAATTCCCGCAGTTGAGCAAGCATGATGGTTGAACCCAGTGATGGTGAGAACAACCACAGCCGCACCTTTGGCTATCAAACACATTTTGCAGGTATTACTGTTTTAACACTCACATGTATTTGTTTCCAGGATGTAAACATAAACCTCTGTCCGATGAGTGTCTCGGTGAAAATTAATCAGAGTACATATTCTTTCATAACAGAAAGTGTTGCAATTTGGTTCCGAGATAAAGCAATTAACATCCTTTGGGAATTCGTATGTTCAGTGGCTCTACCACACGTCCCCTGCACGAGGCCTGCTTCTGAGTAATTTTTGTCGCGTTAATGTGGGTCGTGCGCGCGCGAAATGAGGACAAGCGCTCATAAAACGCGGCACAGCAGCCCAGAAGCCTACAAACGTGTCGAAATGTGATTTCTAGTTCAGAATTGCAATTTCCCTAATCAAGTAACCCCAATAGGAAAGAGCGTCCCCTATTACGCGGTG